CTAACATGCATAGTCAGTATGTGCGCGGGTGAGCCGTGGATAACGCAGAGACACACCGAGTTTGCGCTCGTCGAGCGCGACTGCGCTCACGTCCGGCTCGACGGCCACAGCGCCGTGCACACGGTGGAAACGTACGCTGTGCACACACCGTGAGCGAACGTGAACGGGCGAGCGGACAGGCTTCTAGGGTGGACGTACCAGACAAGGCAGCGCGCTGCGCGTTGGGGTCCGGGTTCGAGAGACGGGCGATTGGGACAGAGCAGAGTCGAGAGCGAGAGCGAAGGAGGCGATGGCCCCCTCCTCGACGCCCTCGGCGAGCTTTTATGGCTCGCAAGACGTGCACGGACCTCTTCCCCCGCGTCCTCTGCGTGCACGGTGCACGCCCGGCGGCAGGTCGCTGTTCGGGTCGCGGCGTGCTCGGAGTCGCTGTCTCTGTCTCCGCCATTGGCGCCCCGTCTGCACGCGGACGTCGGCGTGAGCGTCAGCGCTGTCCGGGCCCCACGTACACGCATCCCTGACGGTACGCGTATTGCACGCAGGACCGCGCACGTCGCACTTCGGCAGGCGAGCAGCAATGTCTGCGCTCGGTGGCCGCCCCGCGACGCATTTACCGTCGTCGCGCGACGATGTGCAGATCGACGCGAGGCGACGCAGACCACCCTCTCCCTCCTCGCGGATACACCATGCAGATGCACTCGGAGGACGATGTACGGCGCGGGCAGCTCCGAGCTCGTTGCGGCTAGTCCGCTCGCAAGGTCCGTACGTACAGTTCGCGCCCCCCGATCTGATGCCCTCAGTACAGTGCCCCGAACCGACTCGGAGCACGGACAGGCTTGCATGCGGCCGCGCGTGTCCACTGCGTCCAAGACGCCGTTTCCGTTTCTGTGCAGCTGCCACGCACAGGACAGACACGTCCGGTTCGGAATCGCCGTGCCCCGCCGCGCCGTGCACGTCGCACCACGCGGCGCGCACGCCGCCACCGTGGAGGGCGGGGTAGGGCCTCCCGCCGACGCGTCGTCCCCGCGTCCCCGCGCTGTGCGGCTTCCGAGTCCCACTCCCGGCGGCGGCGCGCCGTTGCGCACTTGTACAGTACCCACCGCCCGCCGCGCCGTCCGCGCAAATAGATATCGCGTCGTTTTCGCTGGCCAGTTGTGCGCGCGGAGGGGCGCACAGGCGTCCGAGTCGTCGGCCGTCCCCGCCGCCCGCCGCCAACTTCCCTTCCCCGTATCCGCCTGTGGCGCACGTTTTCCACGTACGCCCCGCGTGAACTTGTGTGATCGTCCGCCGCAGCCCGCCGTGCTTAGTTAAGCAGGTGCGGGCAGTCTCAAGACTGAATCCCGACATTTCGGCCGGTAGAGACTCGGGGCACGCGTTAGGGCGGCGCGGACGGCGCGGGCGCGCAGCGTCTCCGCACCCTAAACACGGGGGCGCATTGTACATGCCTGGGGCGCGACCAGAGGACATCCGGGGACCGTGCGCCGCGTTCGCGGTTGTTGCAGTGCGGGGGTGCGCCTCGACGTGCTGACTCTCCCATGCGTGGGGCATGTGTACCGAGGCTCGTATCGCGCGGACGGGCTATGTGTGCAGCGGGTGCGACGCAACGCCGTGTTTTGCATCTCGCGTTTGGCGATCGCGCAAGGCGCATGGGTGCCGCGCGGCGCGGCGGGGTCGGGCCACTGGCGGGAGGACATCCGCAGAAGACGGCGGCTGCCCGTTCAATACCGCGGCCGCTGCCTTCTAAAATGCACACGAATGCTCGATGCACCAGGGCGGACCTGTTCTGTGAGTTTCAGCGTGATCTGAGAGCATTATGTTGATATTGATTTCGTCGATTTCATAGGCAGGAGCAGGGCTGGACGAGAAAAATGCGCATCCCCGCCCGCGTTCGCGCCCTTCTGCGCTGCAATTTCGCGCACATTCTCGACACACCATGGTGCACTCACCCTGTAAGTTTCAGTGCGATCCGACCACATTTTATTCGCGTCGTTTTGGTCGACTTCATTGGAAGCAGCAGGGCCAGACGAGAAAAATGCGCGTCCCCGCACGTGCTTGCACTGTCCCGCCCTGATATTTTGCGCACACGCTCGAAGCACTATGGTGCATGTCCCCTGTGAGTTTCAGCATTATCTGAGCACATTGTTCTGACGTCGTCTCGGTCGATTTCATGGGAAGCGGGGCCAGATGAGAAGAATGCCCGTCCCCGCCCGCGTTTGCACTCTCGCGCGCTGCGATTTTGCGCACACGCTCATGGGGACGTCTGCGACCGACTCCGCCACGCTCGTGCGCATGCGGGACGATTTGCTTTGCATTTCCACGACATCGTAAGGGGGGACCCTTGAGGCCGTGTTCGGAGGTATATTTCCGCGAATATATTTGATTTTCTACACATAAACACACCCTGTAGACACCCAAAGCGCGACTCGTGGAAGTACGGAATGTGCTCCACGCATGTGCAGGGCGCTGGGCTGTCGCTGTACCCATGCCTGTGCCGTACCAGCAGGGAGCATCCATGATATTTCGACGAAATCGGGCCTCCGGGCCGTCCAACCCTGCGCGGGAAGGGTTCGAAAACGCACCTACACACTGTGACTCTGTCCATCAGGGCGCGTGCACGCGGCGAGCTTCAGTGCGGTACGAGAACAAATTATTCACGTCCCTCGTGTCAGTTCCATAGGCTGAAGCAGAGCAGACACCAAGAAATGCGCATTGCGGCCCGCTGTTTCTTCCTCTCGCGGTGCGATTTGGCGCACGCATCTGGGAATACGTCCGTGATGGCCTCCGCCACGCTCGCGCTCGAATGCGCATGGAGAACTGGGTCCGCATCCCCGCAACTTGTCTGCACCCGGTAGCCTATACAACATCGGGTATATCGGTAAGGGCACTGCGAGGAAAGAAGAGAGCCTGAACCAGGAAGGTGACGTACCAAATAACGACAGCCGCACAGGCGGAAGCGAAGAGTACCGCATGGTGCACGAAGAGGGCGGCCTAGCCCCTCTCGAAGACGCGCACTGACCCTGAGACGAGTACATACGACCAGCAGCGTGATCCCGTTACGGTATCGAAGTTTGCGCCGCGCAGGAGAAGGACTTGCGCTCGCGCTTGAGATGGATGGAAGGGTAGAGGTGCTGCCCAAATGCAGGCAATGGACCTACATCTCCCAGCCTCTCGCATCCGCCCACGGGAGGATAGAGCCTGAGCCACGGAAACCGGAAGAAGCCGACACGAGATCCCCGGGCCAGAGACGGCACTGAGGGTTGCACCCGTACATCGTTCGCATCCGTGGTCATCGCGGGGCGGAAGACGCCGTGACGCCTGGCGCTTCGTTGGTCCGCTCTGCTGGTGCGGGGGACACGGAGGGGTGGTCAATCAGTGGTCCCGAGGAGTATGCATTGCAGTCCTCACGTACGGTCCCAAGCGCACGAGGCTGCATGTCCCCCGACGGATCGGCGGTCATGATCTCTGTGAGACTGCCCGTGCCCGTGCCTGTGTTGATTCCTTGAGTGAGTCGAGTGCGAGAGGAGGAGACCGTCCCTCGGCACATGCTCTGCAGGTCAGCGTGGTAGGTACTATACAACGCGGCCGGGGGAGCGATCAAACGGTGGGCAGTGGGCGCAATGTGCTGCACACGAAAGCCTCGCCCGGCAACCCCAAAAGATTTCTGCATGCAAGCTGCGTAGCGGACCGATCAGCATGACGGGCGCGAGCTAGAGAAGTACACGGACTTCCCTTCGCCAAACAGGCCGCGCAACGGCAGTCCGCGTGGTCGAATCCGAGACATCCATCTCCGGGTCTGCAGAGCCCGCAGGCTGGAGCGGCCGCCTTGTTGTGTACGCGCACAACCTGCTAACGAGGGCGGGCAGTCCCCGGAAGCCCGTTGCGGCCTTAGAGGGTGTACGCTAGTGCCGTGATTGGAAATCGCACCGGAATGCTCGCACTTCGCATGCGGATTCGCGTCGGAGCAGATTCGGAGGTGCCGTGTACAAGCGAGACGTGATGGCAAATATGAAAACGAACTTCAGTGCGCGCACGGGTTTATAGAGGAATCTGTTTACCTCTGGTGCATTGCTCTGCGAGCACCGCACCGAAGAGGGCACGGTCCGCTACAGCCGTGGGCTTCCCGTCTCGAAAATGATGCGCTCGTACATGTCTTCCAAGCCAGGACCACGTGTGTCAAAGTCCGATCCGAGCCTACAGGACGTCCAGCGCACACAATACAGACTGCATCCAAGGGGATACGCACACGGGTCCTGCACACTCTTGGCTAGCAGAACTGACAGGAGAGGGCGGGACACACTGTATAGCTGCTTGCAGACTTAGCAAGGTGGCAGGGGGAGATGCCAATGTGTGCCACATACCTCAATAGGTCACTTTACTTTGTGCGAGTGGGAACTTGCCGATATTTGGCAAGAACATTGCTATAATACAGCGCTGTGCTGGGAACCAATCGCTTGGCTCCTCGCATCATCGGGTGAGGCATGCCCGGACCAGCTCTAGCGTAATAACCTGAAAGGAAATGTCAGTGATGTTCGCAAAACAGGGAGAATGCGTGAAATACACATTCACACACCCCTCTTCACGGTCTCGCCCGCAAATCCATCACACCGCCATTGACGCTCTTCAGATTGCTATGAGCCCCCGCGAGCCGTCCCGCCCGCCGGCCGTCCTCCCAGAGGAGCCCCACACTAGGCGATGTTCTTGCCTCTCCAGCCCTATGTCGAGCCAGAGCCAGCTACTGCGACCACACGCGAAGACCTGCGTGAGGAGCTTCGCACGGAAGTCACCGCCGGGTTCCGTAAGTGCCACCTGCCTGCTCCACCCGCTGTCCTGCTGCTCACCATGGCGTCAGGCAAGGCTACTGGTGACAAGAACGCGAGGCTCTGCTACTCGGAGAAGCGCTACGCAAAGTCCACTGTGATCAAGCACGGGCAGAAGTTAGTCGGATGGCCGAGGAAGATTCCATTCCAGGACTTCAACAGTGTCCGTGGAGGGAAAGCGACACTGCAGAAGTTGCTCCGCCGCTGGAGGAAGGGAGTGCTGAGGTTCGAGCGCGCTACAGTCGAAGACATCGAAGCCGCGAAGCGCGACCCGAGCACGGTTCGACCGGGCGCTGCGAAGAAGGCGCGTCCGCGTCCGCCGTCGTCTCCGCCTTCGCCAACGCCAACACCGTATCCGTGCTTTTCGACAATCCAACGCCATCCACTGAGCCATCCGGCAACCACCTGCACCAGCAGCGTACCGACACCAAGAAGCCCCGCGGCCGGGACCTCACGGGGCGGTAGGTCCGAAATAACCCTCTGCCGAAGAAGGGAATCAAGAGCATGTCTTACATTGTTGATTCGGACGTCGAGGACGATTTCGGGCAGGCGGCAGCGGAGCACGGCGAGTTCTATTTCTTCGACGAGCCGATCCCGGAGCTCTTGCCTGCTGCGGAAGGCAGCGTGTTTGGTCTGTTCGCTTCTTCGCCATTTGGGTCACACAGTAGCCCGAGCGGAACCATCTGCCTCTCGGACATCGAGATGGGTTTGTAGGCTGAGGCGGAGTAGGATGGGTCAGGCTTGGAGCGGTGTTATCGGGCACTCGTACCTGTATGGTGTTTGGGGGGTGACGTGACCGGACTTCTTGTGCTTGTGTTTGAAATGTGCATTATATTCAAAGTTTACTCGAATTCTTGAAGGATGTCGGCCGGTGCGTCCGTTGAGCGTAGGAGGGAGGAGTGAGTGGTGAAAGTTTGGACTCGTGGGCGTCTCAGAGAGGCCTCCTTCCCATTTAGGCGCATTGGCGCTCGAGACTCGTTCTTTGCTCCCGCTCACCGGGACCCACTGCCCGCTCGGCCTGCCAGGCAGCAAACTCGCCCACATGCACGCAAGTCAGTGCCTTCAATATTTCAGGTGAACACATCGTAGCTATTGAGATCAAATATTGACACAGATAGTGCGTAAGTATTGCGCGGCGGGCCTCCGCAGCGATATGTACACACCGTGGACGTCCTGTATCGAAGATGACGTGCGTTTATAATTAGGTGATGTCCACGACGGAAGACGGCGCACACCCCGGTGGCAGGGCAAGGCCTGGCGACAGCCTAGCATGCATGCGCAACAGCATGGGGAGCCGATTGTTGGGACGCAGGGGAAATGAATTCCCCAACAGTAATGCGGACACCCCTTCGCCGGCAGGTCGCGGATTCGGAGCGCTCGTCTTGCTCATCCTATAAGACCTTGAACGGACTGGATCGAGAACTCCCTGTTGCGCGCACGCGCACACCTCGTCCCGCGATTTAGTTCTGCCTCACCACGATCTCCACCGTGAGGCCTTCCTAGTCCTCGTCACTGCACCTTCCTTGGACAGTCTGGTCTCATTGTTGACTCCAGGGCCGCCTCATCTGCGACTGCCGTCCCCGTTGGGTCTGTCGTGCGAAGCGGTCACAGTAGGTAAGCATGCGTCCGATCCAGTGGTTGCAGCTCGAGATGTGGAGGTGCGTTTTGTGCAGCGGTGACAGAGGCGCTAGACATTGGGGCGAACACTCTGGTGCAGCGGTGTAGGGTGCTTTCACACGGGGGGTATATCGCTAGGCTGGAGGGCAACCCCATGGGACGAGCACATGCGAGGTGCTCTTGAGAGCTGACACATCACAGCGAGTTTGATGGCAAGGGCAGACCCGCAACGGAGGTTCTCGCAGGGCGTGGAGATCGCCTTCAGCCTTGCGTGTCGGTGAGTGTCGAGCCATATACTTAATCATATCAAACGACGCACTCATGGACTGTGGCAGCCGCTCAAGTACAGCACATCGACGTGCTCTGAAGCTCGTTCCGGACGTACAGGCAGCCGCGGCCGCGCCTCTCTCTCACGGTCTCCTCATACTCATTTTGCGGCGCGCAGACCAGTCGATATGTATCTACTTTGTCCGTTACACGCTGATTTTGGTGTGGCGCGCAGATGATCGCCGGTAGTGTCGGATGCTATGCTGCCATTATTACCCCGCGCGGTATGTATTCCATCGCGCACACGCGCCGTTCAGGTACGTCTCATTCTCCGTGCACTCACAACCGGCGATGCTCATGCTGTCCTAGAACGAGGCTGCGCACTTGTATCGCATTCGGAGCGAGCAGAACCCGGCATCGAGTCAGAGTGCGAGACAACGGGTATGGCAGCGCCCGGGCGGAAGAGTTGGCGTGGCCAGTTTACGCGACGAGATGCTGTCTGCAGGCCAGGCACCGAAGGCGTTTGCGTGGGCCCGCAAGCTGGTACGTACCGCCTTCAGGTTTCGTGTACTAGGATGGTCATTCCGCGAGAGCACTTGGGCGACCATTCCGAGCGTGCTGGGTAGCTGCACGAGACGGCGGCCAGGGCGTCGATTCAGGAGGGACTGCGCGCCGCGGGCGCCTCTTGAGTCAACAGCACTTCGCATGCGCCAGCTCTGCGACCGCCGCGCGCCCTCGTATGTTGGGAAAGAAACCATGTATTCATTGTGCAATATATCTACATTATGTACATGTTCACGACCACCCCGCACGAGTGCCTCTGATTGTCCGGCCTCCCAAGCTTCTCCGACCCTCCCTGTGCTTTAACCACCGTCGACCACCCACCTTGTACCCAAACGACTCCCTACGACCCACCCTGCACTCAAATGGCTGCCCACCACCCACCCATACTTACCATTTAATTCTCCAGCCTCGCACACCGGTCCCCCGCCCCGCCCGCACCGATCCAGCGCCAGTCTCACCACACCCGCGCTGAACGCACCTGTCGCCTTCGCCACGACGCGCGCGATGTCCGCGCTCGTCACCCGGTCATGCAGCATCGCCAACGGGCCCGCCGCGTCCTCGCTCTCCCCGCGCTCGCCCGCGCCCTCCGCGGGCAGCTGCCGCTCGAGCTCGGGGATCGTCGCGAAGCGCAGGCGCGACGCGCGCTCGTACTGCCCCTGGCGCTGCGCGACCTCGAGCTCGCGCTTCGCGTCCTCGAGCCGCTGCTTCGTGTCCTTGATGCGCTCGAGGCGCGCGCGCTCCGCGTGCCACACCTGCGTGAGCTGCGCGGCGGCCTCGCGCTTCGCCTTGAGGGTGTCCTCGACCTTGGCACGGCGCTCGGCGGAGAAGACGTCGGTCTCGTTCTTGAGGGACTCGCGCTCGATCTCGAGCGTCATGATTTCGCGGTCGAGAGACTCGAGCTCGTCGGGCTTGCTTTCTTGGGCGAGGCGGAGGGCGGAGGCGGCTTCGTCGACGAGGTCGATCGCTTTGTCGGGGAGGAAGCGGTCTGAGATGTAGCGCGAGCTGTATACCGCGGCTAGTAGTAGGGTGAGACGTCAGCGAGGCTCGCAGTGCGCGGGGAGAATAAGGTTTACCTGTGACGAGGGCGCCGTCAGAGATACCGACACCGTGGTGTACCTCGTAGCGGGGCTTGAGACCACGAAGGATAGAAATCGTCGCCTCGACAGTAGGCTCGTCGATCTGCACGGGCTGGAATCGACGCTCGAGCGCGGCGTCTTTACCAATGGTCTTCCGGAACTCGTCCGCTGAAGGACGTGGTCAGCTCAAGGGACTCTGCGGCAATGTATATTATACTTACGCGTGGTCGCGCCGACGAGCTGAAGGCCGCGGGCAAGCGCAGGCTTGATCATCTGTCCAGCGTCGATGCTGCCTTCCGCTTTGCCAAGGTTGAAGAGCGTGTCTGCGTCTCTGTTAGCATAAATCGAGCTGGAATTTGCGCAAGAACTACTCACGAAGTTCATCAATGAAGCAAATCACGTTTCCCGCCTACGGCAGAATGTGAGCGAGCGGCATAGCGCACAGGGATTTCTCATCACATACTTCGTCTTCAATATCCTTGATGAGGGCCTTGAACTTCTCCTCGAACTGCCCGCGGATGCCAGAGCCTGCCATGATAGCGGCAAGGTCTAGTGACAGAACGCGCTTGTTTTGAAGAGACTACAGAGGATGTACTGTGAGACTATGACATACATGTTGCGGCAAAGTAGAACACACCTCTGGCACTTCCTTGGCAACTATACGCTGCGCAAGGCCTTCTAGAATAGCGGTTTTGCCTACACCGGGCGGGCCGATGAGCTAGGAAGGATAGATGAGACTGCGAAAAAGCAGCTTCGGGTGTGAGGGACTTACGACTGGGTTGGACTTCGTCCGGCGAGAGAGGACTTTTCATGGTCAGCAGGGAGGAAAGTGTCGACTTGGGAAGGCGAAAGCTCACTTTGAATTGTTCTTCGAATCTCTGCGCATATCGCAGTCAGCGAGGCAGATGGAAGGACGAGACATTTGGACATACCTTCGTCGCGACCGATGGTAGGGTCAAGCTTGCCGTTCTTTGCTAGTTCGGTAAGGTCGACACTCTGGCGACATGCAGTCAGCACTCCGTCGGAGAGCAGTTTGATAGATGCAACTTGAGCAACCACGCAAGAGAGGGACGGAAACGAGACGAATGTGGAGGAAACTCACGTATTCCTTGAGAGCCTCG